AACTCATTAACTTGCTGCTGACCGTGGCCGCCATCCTCTTGGTGTGCATCTCCACGGTGTCGGCCTGTACCCTTCCTCTCCTGCGCACCCCCTGGCGTGCCCTGACGACTCTGGCTGTGGTCAGCACGGTGGTCCTGGCCTGGAACCACTTGCCGGATATCACCGAGCTGGAATGGACAACGTGGTTGCCCTCCGCTTAGCTGCCACGGAGAAAAAGCGGGACCACGCATCTCCCCGATGCCCCCCCCCCGGCCCTGCTGTCAGTATTTATCGGCTTCTACATATCTATCTATTTATATATATTTATTAAAAACCATGTGAGTCCATCTCTTTGTGCTCTCCCATGTGCCTGAGTCTCAGATAGCACCCGACGGTGACCGAGCCGCGTACGATCGCGTTCGGAAGTCAGATTCCGTGTGGCAAAACGAAGGGCAACTCTGGATTCCCAGGACATTTAAATTATCGTACGGCATTGTGTGCGAAATGGCCCGGAGATCCCTGGAGGAATTGTTTAGCTGCTGAAGCTGTAGCTTTTTTTTTTTTTTTGGCACCACTAGTCGGTGAGCGATGCTTATTTTTTCGGCCGAGAGTGTCGTGACTTGCCTAAGGGCACCCCGCTAGCTACAAGTGGGGAAGCGGCAAATCGATAGAGTCCGCCGCTCTTAACCACTACACTAAACTGGCTCTCTGATTCCCAGAGCAGATCACAGGAAAGGTTGCAGCAATGGGGAGCGGGGGTGGAGGAGAAAGGGGTATCTCTCTCTGGTTGTCATATAGAGGCTCAGAGCGTGCGTGAATATGCCATTGCTGGAACGGCCGAGCTGTGTAGAAAAGAAGAGGAATGGAACTCCACAGGCTTCTGTTCTGTGAAGTAGGGTTTGTATCCCGCCAAGTCTTCAGCAGTTTATCCAAAAGCTGGACTGGGCAACCCGATGCCCTCTGGTCTAAGGAGCTTTCCGCCCAAGGAAGGGCCTCTCCGGTAGATGGAAGTCTCTTTAGGCAAGCGGAAGGCTTCAAGCATCTCTAAGCAGAGAGCAGTAGGAGACCAGAGACTGTTTTGGCCACCCGAAAGCAGTTTGGTGACTGAAGCAGAAAGTTCAGACAGCTTCCCAGCTATGTGCCGATCAGCATGGCGTGCCGTCTCCTCCCGGTGCCATTCTGCTCCCGTTCACACAAACATGGCTTCCGCCGGAGACTTTCCCAGCTGGGTCGCACCCCGGGGGTCAGATCTGTTTTCTTTGTTGCCTGACTACCCTTGACGTCGCCCCAAATACACCCGCCCAAGGCAGCCACTTCTCTTTGATTAAAATGTGGATTGACACGCGGCATTCACTGCCAGAGGAGGTAATGATGGCCACAGGCACAGACAGCTTTAAAAGGGATTAGACAGATTCTTGGAGGAGAGGGTCAATCAGTGGCCCATAGCCACCGACTAAATGGAACCTCCATGTTCAGAGGCAGTTAGCCTCTGAGTCCCAGTGCCAGGAGGCAACATCAAGGGAAGGCCTCGGCCTCTCCACCCTGTTGCTGGCCCTCCAGAGGAACTGGCTGGCCCCTGTGTGAGACAGGATGCTGGACTAGAGGGACCCTCCCTGGTCTGACCCAGCAGGGCTCTTCTGGTGTCCTCATCAGGGGAAGGCCTCGGCCTCTCTGCCCTGTTGCTGGCCCTCCAGAGAAACTGGCTGGCCCCTGCGTGAGGCGGGATGCTGGACTAGAGGGACCCAGCAGGGCTCTTCTTCTTTGCCGGTGGGAAGGAAGGACCTGGGGACCCCCCCAGAATTACAACTGACTGCCAAATGACAGTAATCAGTTCCCCCGGAGAAAATGGCTGCTTTAGAAGGTGGGGCTCTATACCCCGCTAAGGTCCCTGCTGCCCCCAGACCCTGCCCTCCGCCGGCGCTGCCCCCAAATCTCCATGAATTTCCCAAACTGAAACTGGCACGCCTAGTCAAGGGCGCCTCCGGCTCCCCCGTCGGCCTTTCCAATCCCAGAAGACTCCCCCCACCTGTTTGCCATCCCGGCCACAGTACCTGATGCGCAAACGCGCACACACAAACGCCCCCCCCCGGCAGACATTCACGGAGACACCACGTAGCAGGTAGGAGAAGAACTGAGCTTTAGTAGAGAAGTCAAAAACCTTTATTCTCTAGCTCACTCTTTTTGCTGCTGCATTTCTGCTTGAACCGAGATGATCTGCTATTATTAGTATTACTCTCTTTTTTTTGTCATTTTTTTTCCCATTGCATTTCTAGCTAAAACATCCCAGTCGGGGGAAACGAGGAGACTTTAGTATCAAACACTATGTACAGAAAAGGTTCCAGATGGGCCCTTGCTAGGGGGGGTAACCTGAAACCCCCCAGGGGCATCTAAGGTGGCTCCTGCTGGGTTCTCTGCATTTCAGCCCTGCGTCGGAAGCGTTACGGCCACGCCTAAGGAAGAGCTAGGAACTCAATACACCCAACCTTGCTGAGGCACAGACACCTTGCGTGGGGGGTAGAACACACGCTGCAGTTCTCTGGGGTCCCCCCCCCCCGTCGGACGTGCTCCCTGGCACCAGTGAAAACCTCAGAGCAAAAAAGGGGATCAGAAATGGCCCCGCCCGGCCAAACGGTGGGCCCGTCTCCCTATAGGGACCCGTCCGTCTGTCCCTCCACAAGATGGGGTGGCTTACGGGGGTGGGCATGGGAATCTGGGGCCGGTTGCCGGGGCCGGTAGGGCCGTGGGCAGACGCGCTTTACAAAAGCTATATGCTTCCCCCAGGGAGGCCCCCTCTCTTTTGCCCCCTCCTGGGAGACAGAGGGACAAGCGGGAAGACTATTCAAGGGTAGCATCTGAAGGGAAGGAAGTCCAAGCGACGCCTGATATCCTAGGGGGCGTGGAGGAAAGCGGGGCGTGGGATTCTGCATCCTTCCCCCTCCCCCAGCCCCCACCCCAACCCAAACAAATCTCAGGGGAACTCAGAAACCAGCCCCGTCCGGCCCACCACAGGAGAAAGAACAGCTCTCAAGCCTGGGACAAAGCTTTAAGTCCAAAGGAAAGGGGGCTGTGGAGGTAAGCCGGCCAGGACGTCATAGGCTCATAGGGGGGATCCTTATGATGCTGGAGGAAGAAGAGGTTCTCATTGGGGCTCTCCCGGGAGGCAGAGTCCTGGTTTGGTGTCCATCCAGGCAGGGGGCTCTTATGCTGGTGCCACGGAGGAGTTAGAGACAGAGGAGACCTCCGTGCGGGATGTGGTAGAGGCTTCGGAGCCGTCATCCACCTTCTTGCCAAAGAGCTGCATTATGCAGTTACGGAACTGCCGGAAGAAAACGAGAGAGCGAGAGAGAGAAAGGAGGAGGTTAATTGACATGGAGGAAGAGATTTCCTCTCTGCCCGCCGTATATTCCACACAGCAGCGTAATCCCCCCCAGTTGACCATCCATATGTCTGTAAACCCTAAATGACCCCCCGCCACTCTCTGCTCCTCTGTTGTTTCCCTGCCGTCTGACTTATCTCTCTCTCTCTCTCCATTTGAGGATGGAGCAAATTACCTGTCTGTTCATGAAGACGTAGATGACTGGGTTGTAGATGGTGGCGCTCTTTGCAAAGTAGGCAGGCAAGGCAGCAGCGAGGGGGTGGAAGGCATAGCCGGGGTTGGCAGCAGCAAAACTGACAAAGGTGGCATAGGGTCCCCAACAGACACAGAAGGCCACGATCATGACTACCACCATTCTGGACACCTCCCTCTCGGCCTTCTGTGTGGACTCGGACTCTTTCTGCTGGGCGGCCACCTGGGCAAAGAGAAGGAGAGGTTGAGTTCAAGAGGTGTGACCTCTATGCAGTCGCAAAAACTTTGTGGGTCTCACGCTGTCCGTGCCATGGAACTGAGGGAACAGACCAACACGAGGTAAGCCAAGACTTAAAGGAAAGGAGTCTCTTTGGGGAAACTGTGTCCCGGGAAAGGGGTCTCCACAGGAGACTGTATCCTGATAAATTTCGGTTGAGATATCAACTGTGGGGCAATGTCATTCATACCCGCAGGTGGCAGAGGAGAAGCAAAGACACCCAAGATATTAGGGAGGTTCGTTGCTATCTTGGGGACAGTGGCTTGCCGGGGAATTAAGCAGGACTAGGGGTCTGTTACGACAACAGAAATCCAAGACCATTCCTGAGATTTTGCTGGAAATATATTGGTAGAGGGGAGGCCCTAACTCAGGCAAAGTCCAGAGGAGGACAGAGTATCAGGGGGACCAGTGAGAGAGGGAGGGCCTGATAGAGAATTAATCATTTCTAGCGGGAAAAGAGGGACTGGTTATGGATCCCAGTGGGGCAGTAGCTCCCGTTTCAGAAGGAAGTGAACCCCCAGCAAAGGGCAGTGGGCAAAGGCGCTTGCTGCAGGTTGTTAAGGGAGTGAGGGAGGGAGGACACGTGGCATCCAACGGGCCGATGAATTCCTAGGGATGGGGGTGCTCACCGCACGGATAGCCATCCACACTTGCAGGTAGCAGAAGAGGAGGACGAAGAGCGTTAAGAATCAACAGGTGACTATGAGGGTCAGCATGAAGGACTGGCAGCCGAGCTCAACGCTGCCACTGAAGACGTCAGGACCGCAGGATGTCTTCAGACCGTGGGGCCAGTACCTAGAGACAGGAGTGGAAAGAGCTGGCGTTATGTTTGCACGCGAAGCTCAAAGCTGCTTTTCAGCCTCTTCACGCACTACATAGGCTAACCGCTGAGCCTTGCTCGGGTGGAAAAGTCTCCCAAAAGAGGCGCTGCTCATGGCAAGGCACATTCTCGCCACAACGGGTTTTGTCTTTAATGATGACGGCAGCGACGGAATGTCAGCGAGTCCTTCTGTGAAAACGCCCAAGTCTAAAACGGAGCTTGAGCTAAACACCCTCGGCTTGGTAACCAGTCCAAATTTCACCCGCTCCTCCCACCAGTGCCCGAAGATGTGCCTCGTGACCCCTGAACTTTAAAAGCAACATTTGTCCCATAGATCCTCTTTCTCACTGTGAAGAGCAACACAAACTCATATCGTTGCCCTTTCGGTCCCCCCCCCACACACACTGGGTAATTTATTCTGGTCTGAGCTTCTGGCTCTATATACAAAACGAGAAGTGTAACTGAGTCCCTGATGGCCCCCAAGATTCTCCTCTTTCCCGGCCTCCCCTTTTGCCCTCCATTGCGCTCCGTTCCCTGCATCGCCTCTGACTCCGCCGCGCTCCCCGTACTCACCTACTCCACCCAAAGATGGGTGGTGCTGACCAGCCCCACGCCCATACCCAGGAGAAGACAATGCCAATTATGGCCAGTTTGGAATCAAACTTGATGTTTCCAAAGGGCTTGCAGACGACGAACCAGCGTTCCCAGGAGATAATGGCCAGAGACCAGAGGCCTGTGATACCTGCAGGGGGGGGGGAAGGAGGGAAGAGGACATCTGTCACACCGAGGAGCAAGATCCCAAAGGATGCGTCTCCACCGAGACATCTGCGGTAGGGTCCCTCTTTCCCACATCCCAATCTCCGTGTCAAGAGGGCGGCAGACCATAATGTACTACAAAGGCCGGTGCTGGCACACCTCGAGGTGGGGTAGCTCAGCGGCCAGGGCCCGCAGCTTTCAGTGTTGCCGACTTTCTACTCGCACGTCTCCTCTGACACCTGCACTCGCGCCCTTCCGCTGCCTGATTGTGAGAGCTCTGTCCCCTCTGCTTCCAGCTGCACATGCTGCGTACAACTGTCGGAGAGGGGCTTGTGGGTGGTGCACAATGCATCAGCGTTCCCGGTGGCTGCAACGGGGGCACTCCTAGCTGCACCCCCCCGGCACAATCCGAGAAAGGGTGAGCAGGCAGCGCAGGCAGCTGTGACTGCAGGATGGTAGGAGAGCTTGCAAGGGGGTAGAAGAAGGATGCTTAGGCTGGTGGCGGCACACGAGTGGGTGTGCAAGGTGCAGGCCTAGGAGAGGGAATGGGAAGGCATGAGCACTCTTTGCCCAGGACCTCGCCAAAACCTGGAATCGGCCCTAAATACCCCGGCATGTGAGTCTGGGACAGCGTAAAGCAGGAAAGAATTGACTTTCCCAAAGAGTAGATACGTGATGGAGAGTATATAGCGGGAGAGGCCGTATCTCAGTGGGAGAGCCTCTGCTTGGCATGCAGAAGGCCCCGGATCAATCCACGGCATCTCCAGTTAAAGGAACCAGGCATTAAGTAGTGTGAAAGACTGCCTGAGAACTCTGGAGAACGGCTGCCATTTCTGAGTAGACAATGCTGACCTTGGTGGACCAAGGCTGTGATTTGGTATAAGGCAGCTTCATACCTTCATACGGTGGTGATTTTCAGGGTAGGAGGGGAGCCAGGAGCAGTCACATCAGGAACGGGATTGAAGGGAAGAGAGCCAGAGCAGAAAATGTGGGAAAGAAGTAATCCAGTAATCTCTTACCGCAAGAGGATACGACGTACCCCTCTATCACGCACAGGGGGTGGCCCAGGATGAAGTAGCCAAAGATCTGGTTGATCACACTTATGATACTGGCGACGAGCGTCTCAACCAGATCCACAAATGCCAAGTTCACCAGGATCCAGTTGAGCGGATGCCGCAGCTTCTTGAATTTGGCGGTGGCCACCAAGACTAACCCATTGGTGAAGCAGGAAGCGACGACAACGATAATCATGAAGAAAGAGACCAAGTTGTAGACCCATCGTGGTGCAATGTGATAGTTTGGACCTTCGAAAGGGCCTGCCAGGAGAGGGGAAAGGGTTGGGGGGGGTTAAAGTGGTCCCAGCGAGGACTGCCAACCTCCAGCGGGGGCCTGGAGACCTCCTGGAATGGCAACTGATCTCCAGATGACAGAGGTCGGTTCCCCTGGAGAAAATGGCTGCTTTGGGGGGTGGGGGGGCTCTCCAGCATCGCCCTGTGGAGGACCCTCCTCTTCCCAGCGCCTTCTCCCCGGCCCACACCCCTAAAATCTCCAGGAATTTTCCGACTTAGAGTCGGCAACTCCTAAATCCCAAGCTCCCAGTCAGCTGCACTGCTCTTCTGGTCAACGTATCCACTTGCCCAAACTAGTCACCTTCCTATGCTTTCTTCAAGCTCATACTCCTGCAGATCCCCAGGAAAGGAGACGGGTCTACACCAATGTTCCCTCTAAGCTGTGGAGTCTTGTGAGCAAAAAATCTACTTTGTGAGCTGCTGGCATTAAAGTTGAGAGCGAGCGATCTGGCTACTGCATAACTCGGTTTGCTCTGGAGCCATCCCTTCCTGAGCGAAGACAAAAATGTGTGAGCCGGAGGCTAAAAAACTGTGAGCTAGCTCACATTCACTCAGCTTAGAGGGAACACTGGACTCTTCACCTCTCCCCATCTTGCAGATGAGCACTTCCCCCAGGCCCTCAAGCCAGCTGAGAATTCTCCCTGTACCGTTTCTCAAGAACCATCCAGAATCTTCTGCAAAAACCTCTGCGAAGTTCCAGTTTCAGGAACCTTCTTTCCCTCAGAGCTTTATGGACCAGTCGCCCACTGGGATACAAAATAAGGTTGCCAGCTTGGAGACCGCCCAGAATTACGTCTGATCTCCAGACTACATATATCAGTTCCCCTGGAGAAAAATGGCTGCTTTGGACGGTGGCCTCTAGGCACAGTACCCCGCTGAGGTTCCTCTCCTCTACAAACCCTTCCTTTCCCAGGTCTCGCCCCCCAATCTCCAGGAATTTCCCAAGCTGCCCTTTGCGGCTCTCGCTACGAGGCCCCTCAGTCGGTCAAGGTAGGACGGGCAACCTCTACGTAGTGCCTGAAGATCTCCTGGAATTACAACGGACTGCAGAGATCAGTTCCCAGAATTACAGCTCATCCCCCAGACTACAGAGTTCAGTTCCCCTGGAGAAAAATGGCTGCTTTGGGGGGCAAATCCAATGGCATTCTACCCCCAATCAGGATGCTCCCCCCAAACCTCCAGGAATCCCCCAGCTCAGAGCTGGCATCCCTAATTCCCATTCCCCCAAACCACCCTCTGTCCAATTCCCCTCTCTCGGGCAGCCCTTTCCTGGGCTTACCCCGGGTGTTGTTGGTGTTGGTATAAGTGAACACGCTTCCTCGGGTGGTGTCGTCATCGTCCCTGCTCCGGCGGGCTGCAAAGACAGCCACGTTCCAGGCTTCCGTCATGGCCCCCGCTGCCTTCTCTCCTGGGGGGGGGGTTTCCTCTCCTCTCTTCCTGCCCTGTCCCTCTCCCTCGCTCCCTCTTCCCCGCTAGGATATCCCTCTTCTCTTGTCCTATTGCCTTCTTCTCCTTCTCCTTCTTCTCCTCTTCGTCTTTTCACCCCTCTCTGCCGCTCGGACTCTCCCCTCCGCCCGTCTGTGCCAGGGCCCTGGCGCTACCCAGTTATATAGCCACCCCCCCGGGCAGATTAAGGCCCCGGCTTGGAGAACAAGATCCCCAAAGCCCATAAAGGTTTTATCCCTTAATTGGGCTGTGATTTGGCCTCCTCCCTGCCTCATTTCCATGCCCTTTGCCCCCTCCTCAGGTTGCCGGAGCCTGAACGGCTCACGCGTACCCTGCATCACCCTGGGTGTATTTGCCGGACACTTCAGGTAAGGGATGAGCAGGGAGGAGTGATTACGGAGGCAAAAGAGCTCAGATAATCCCTCTCAGAACGGCCCTTCCTTGCAATTTCCTAATGGGCCCATCTCCCCCCCCCACACACACACACACAACGAGGCCAAAGGACTTTTTGTCCCAGTTCTTCTGCGGCCGGAGAGGGCGGCTTTCTCGGCCAAGCCGGAACTCCTGCCCGCGGCGGGCTTCCACTTCACGGGACCGCAAGAGCCATACCTCCGAAACCAGCCCATCCCGTGACGAGGCCAAATTTTAAAAATTTTGTTTGTTTCTGCCAAAATTGGGCTCAGGGCAGCTAGCAACCTAGCGGCCCAATACCATTAATAACACCACAATTTCGACAAAACCCGATTAAGACTCAGCAGGGGTCATTTCCTGCAGGAGCGCACAGGAGCGGAGCTCCGGCGGTAAAGAGCCCAGGGGGCGGGCACATGCAACAAGCCCCACCCCCTGTTGCAGAGCTCCCCCCGGCCCCCTGGTCCATAACAGTCCATTGGCACCTTTAAGACCGAGTTTTTTTCAGGTACAAGCTCTCCCTCCTCTTCGAGGACAGATCTGCACGTCCCCCCCCCCCAATAGCGAGCAATTGAAAACAATCCAGTGGAGCCTGAGTGGTGGGAGTTGCCTTCTGAAACACTTCCAGTGACGTCAGGGGGTGTGGCATATGCAAATAAGTTATGCTAATGAGTTATGCTGATGAGCTCCTGCACCTCTTTTTCTACAAAATGACCCCTGAGACTCAGCACACAGCAAACGAATACTTTGGGCGTAACAAGGAGTCGGCGGTGTTGATCGCGGAGGCCATGTTGTTCTCATGTTCTCGTCTCTGTAGTCCAGGGATCAGTTCTAATTCTCCAGCTCCAGCTTGGCAACACTATGAAGGGTTCCAGGAGAGTACCCTTTAAAATCATAAGGGAAGGGCCATGCAGGCACTGGAAGGGCAACGTTGGGCAGGAGGCCTCAGGCAAGGAGGCACTGGGTCTCTCAACTTGTTGTGGAACCAACACCTAAGTCCCAGCACCACCGTTTCCTTCGTTCAACAGAAAGTGAAGACACTTGAACCCACAAGGAGCTGCCTTATACTGAATCAGACCCTCGTCCTTGCGAGAGGCAGGAGAGACACACGTATTGCCCTTAGTACGTACATTAAGTGCCATCAAGTTGCAACCGACTTACGGGGCTCAAAAGGCAAGTGAGAAGCAGAAATCGTTTGCCATTGCCTGCCTTTGTGCAGCCTTCCTTAGTGGTTTCCCACCCAAGTACTGGCCCTGCATAGCTTCCAACTTCTGGCCACCCCAGCAAGGGGCTTTCAAGGCCAGGGAGAAGCAGAGGTGGCTTGCCCTTGCCTTCCTCTGCAGAGCCTTCCTTGGTGGTCTCCCATCCAAGTACCGACCCTGCTTAGCTTCCAACTTACGGCAACCCCAGCAAGGGGCTTTTCGGGGCAAGGGAGAAGCAGAGGTGGTTTGCCATGGCCTTCCTCCCCAGAGCCTTCCTCGGTGGTCTCCCATCCAACTACCAACCCTGCTCAGCTTCCGATTTAGGATGACCCCAGCAAGGGGCTTTTCGGGGCAAGGGAGAAGCAGAGGTGGTTTGCCATGGCCTTCCTCCCCAGAGCCTTCCTCGGTGGTCTCCCATCCAACTACCAACCCTACTTAGCTTCTGATTTAGAATGATCCCAGCAAGGGGCTTTCAAGGCAAGCGAGAGGCAGAGGTGGTTTGCCATTGCCTTCCTCTGCAGAGTCTTCCTGCGTGGTCTCCCATCCAAGTACCAGCCCTGCTTAGCTTCCAACTTATGGCTGCCCCAGCACGGGGCTTTCAAAGCAAGGGAGAAGCAGAGGTGGTTTGCCATGGCCTTCCTCCGCAGAGCCTTCCTTGGTGGTCTCCCAGCTAAGTACCGACCCTGCTTAGCTTTACAAGACCTAATGAGATTGGGCTATACCATGCTGCCTTTCCTCCCCTTCCCCTTACTACTTCTGGTTAAATAGATTCAGATACCATTCAAAAATCTGCAAATCTGTTGACCGGAGGCCAAAGTGGGGATGTGTTTATACATCGCAAACAGCAGTGTCATCTGTCTTTCCCATTAGCTACAAATTTAATTTGATTTGTAACTGATTTTGGGGGGGGAGATTCTGGGAAGTTTGTGCATGCAGCTTTGTATTTACTTAGGTCTATTATGCACGGGTGTTTCCCCTTGCTTTCACCATGCGTGTCCATCAGGTTTTCTTTGTCATTCTGAATTGATTTCCCTCCCTTCAGCGCTCAGTTCGCTTTCTGGTCGCTGTTTCCTTGGGTTTTCTGAGAGTGCTTTTGCACCGATATTCCCCCTTGTTTCGCTTCCAAGCCAAAGATAATTCAAAATTGTACAGATTTCCATGGATTTCCCACCTTGCACTTTTGCTGCTCCTGGAAGGTCACTCCCCCACCCATATTGAGGTTGTTTCACCCACTCTGCATCTTCCACCATCCTCTCCTCTTCATCAGCATACAAGCTCAATTTCCCCCTTGTTTTTAAATTTAAATAAACATATTTTACAAGCAGCATGAGTCTAGCGATATGAGACTATTGTTAGTCTTGGATCACTGAATTTGAAAAAATTTAAATGACGGGGGGAAGTTTAAAAGACCCCAGTGCAAAAAAAAAAAAAGGATTTCAGTGTTGCATGCAAACAAAATAAAAGGGGAGGGGATCGTCAGTGCAGAATAAAATTGACATGAGATGTAAAGAGAGAGACACTGGGATGGGAAGCCTAAAGCTTTGAAAACATTTTTTCCCTTTCATGCTTTAGTGAACAAAGTTAGGAGGGGGGGACAATTTTGGGAGTCTCTGGAAGCTTAACATTAAAATGGCGGCTGAGCCACATGACCCTTCTGCAAACCGCCAAACTTAAGAATTGCTTGGGATCAATCAATTTGGAGGACAGAGTGCCAAGTTCACGACCAGTGCGCAGGATTAAATTAGAGAATCACAAAGGGGAAACTATGCACATTTGCAAGGAAGGGCAGGAGGTTAGCATTACTATGCAGCTGCGCTAGGACATCAGTGAAAATACCCCCCCCCCCATTTTTTTTTCAGTTTAGTGGCACAAGACTAAAAAAACTCTCCAGAGCTTCTACCAGAGGACTTCTCCTCCATACAAATTGTGACCCTGTGCAAAGTGTGGTGGGGTTGCAGCTGACTTTGCACAGGGGCATGTGCGCACGCACACGTTGCCAACCTTCACAGCTTGCAATGCCACTGTCAGTGGATTCTGCCGTGCATTCTGTACAGTCACCATGTTCCCCCATATTATGAGACGGTGTGACTCTTTTGCATTCTTCAGTGACCGATAACACAGAAGAGAATCCCCTAGTGCTTGGGGATATGAAAAACAGGGCTTCGCAGCTGCTTTTCGGTTTCCAAAAAATCTTGTCAATTTCAACATTGGTTTTCCACCTTTGCCTGTGTTCCTTTCTGTTCCCTTTCATTCAATGAACCAATGCTCAAATGCATGTGCAAATCCTGAGCCACAAGGATTTAAATGGAAGGCGATCGCTGGATGCTACTGCGCAGCTGTGATAGGGCAATTGCATAATTTTTTTTTTAAAAAAACCTTTGGATGCCACTTCAACACAACACAAGTAACGTTCCACCCCAATTTAGAAAAATGCGTTTTTTAACATTGTCGCTGCAAAATAAATAGACCGGAGGAAAAAGAAGGGTGCGTAAGGCGGGCACAGAATCCAAAGTCAAGATAAAAGGCTTGCTGCTCTGAAAATCTGCGGTAAGATGTGCGTGCATAATGGGGCTTTATTTGTGTCTTGCCTTTCCGTTAAGACGCTGACGGCAGCAGACACAAACCAGAATCTCAGCGAGACAAAGGAGACAAATCGAGACTGGCAATTGCTACTGTCAATTGAAGGCAGGAAGAAAGACCGAGTTGATGATGCAGGTGCTGGGAGGGGCATGGCGAGGGGGGGGACTCGGAGGCACCGCAGGGGTCAGCTTGTTCCCAGCCTGGCACAGGAGGGGGTCAGTGTTTAAACTTCGGCATTTCTACAACTGTGAAGTTGAAATGATACCTCCCGGTGCCCCTCCTCCCCCTCCAAATACATTTGCCATGATTTTTGAACTACTTCTCCCTAATGACCCGGATAGCCCAAGGTTAGCCTGACCTCATCATATCTCGGGAGCTAAGCCGGGTCTGTCCTGGTTGGTACTTGGATGGGAGCCCGCCAAGGAAGTCCAAGGTTGCTGTGCAGAGGCAGGCAGTGGCAAACCCACCTCTGTTTGCCTCTTGCCTTGGCCTGGAGGGCCCAGGCTAGCCCGATCTTGTTAGATCTTGGAAGCTTAGTAGGGTCGACCCTGGTTAGTACTTGCATGGGGGACCACCGAGGAAGTCCAGAGGCAGGCAATGGCAAACCACCTCTGTTTGTCCCTGGCCTTGAAAATCCTATGAGAAGTCGCCATCAAGTTGGCTGCAACTTGATGCCAAACAGTCAACCCACTGCTCATCCTAAAGAAAGCTGACTTGCAGCATAAACATTATTTCAAAATGGGTACGTGTTTTTCATGCATTTGGGT